TCAAATTCAACAGGACATTAAAAGAATTATTCACCATGATCAAGTGGGATTTATTCCTGGGCTGCAGGGTTGATTCAATATTAACAAATCAATCAGCATGATACACCACATTAATAAAAGAAAGGATAAGAACCATATGATCCTGTTAATAGGTCCAGAAAAAGCATTTGACAAAATACAGCATCCATTCTTGATAAAAACCCTCAACAGCTCAACAAAGTAGGCATAGATGGAACATACCTCAACACCATAAAGGCCATATATGAAAGACCCACAGTTAATATTCTCAATGGGGAAAAACTGAGAGCCTTTCCCCTATAGTCAGGAACAAGGCAGGATATCCATTACTATTTAACATAGTACTGGAAGTCTTAGCTTCAGCAATCAGACAACAAAAAGAAATAGAGGACATCCAAATCGGCAAGGAAGAAGTCAAACTTTCACTGTTTGCAGACAACACGATACTCTATGTAGAAAACCTGAAAGACTCCACCGAAAAATTGCTAGAATTAATACATGAATTCAGCAAAGTCATAGCATATAAAATCAATGTGCAGAAATCTGTTGCATTTCTATATATCAATAATGAAGCAGCAGAAAAAGAAATCAAGGAATTGATCCTATTTGCCATTGCACCAAAAACAATAAGATACCTGAGAATAAACCTAACTAAAGAGGTAAAAGATCTGTACTCGGAAAACTATAAAACAGTTATGAAAGAAATTGAAGAGGACACAAAGAAAGGGAAAAGCATTCCATGCTCATGGATTGGAAGAACACTGTTGAAATGTCTATACTACCCAAAGCAATCTACACATTTAATGAAATCCCTATCAAAATACCACCAGCATTTTTCACAGAGCTAGACCAAACAATCCTAAAATTTGTATGGAACCACAAAAGACACAGAGTAGCCAAAACAATTCTGAAAAAGAAAAATAAAACTGGAGGTATCAAGATCCTGGATTTCAACCTCTATTACAAAGCTGTAGTCATCAAGATAGTATAGTACTGGCACAAAAACAGCTACATAGACCAATGGAACAGAATAGAGAACCCAGAAATGGTCCTAAAACTATATGGTCAACTAATCTTCAACAAAGCAGGAAAGAACATCCAATGGAAAAAAAGACAGTCTCTTCAACAAATGGGGTTGGGAAAACTGGACAGCAACACACAGAAGAATGAAACTGGACCACTTACACTATACACAAAAGTAAATTCAAAGTGGATGAAAGACCTAAATGTGAGACTGGAAACCATCAAAATCCTAGAGGAAAATTCAGGCAACAACCTCTTTGACCTTGGCTGTAGCAACCTCTTACTAGACATCACTGGAGGCAATGGAAACAAAAGCAAAAATGAACTATTGGGACTTCCATCAAGATAAAAACTTTTGCACAGTGATAGAAATAATCAACAAGACTAAAAGGTAGTCTACGGATTGGGAGAAAATACTTGCAAACAACATGTCTGATAAAGGGTTAGTATCCAAAATCCATCAAGAACTTATCAAACTCAACAACCCAAAACCAAATAACCCAGTTAAGAAATGGGCAGAAGGCATGAATAGACACTTTTCTAAGGAAGACATCAGATGGCTAATACACACATGAAGAAATACAAATCACAACCACGATGGGATATCACAAGAAGCGACAGGTGTTGGCAAGGATGCAGAGAAAGGGGAACCCCCCTATACTGTTGGTGGGAATGCAAACTGGTGCATTCTGGAGAACAGTATGGAGGTTCCTCAAAAAACTAATAATAGAATTACCCTACAACCTAACAACTGCACTACTAGGTATTTACCCAAAGGATACAAAAATACAGATTTGAAGGGGTACATGCACCCTGATGTTTATAGCAGCATTATCAACAATAGCCAAATTATGGGGGGAGCCCAAATGTCCATTGACTGACGAATGGGTAAAGGAGATGTGGTGTATATATTTAATGAAATATTACTCAGCCATCAAAAAGAATGAAATCCTGCCATTTGCAATGATTTGGATGAAGCTAGAGTGTATTACGCTAAGCGAAATAAGTCAGTCAGAGGAAGACAAATACCATATTCGCTCATGTGTGGAATTTAAGAAAAAAAACAGATGAACATATGGAAAGAGGGGAAGAAAGGAGAGGGGGAAAGAGACTCTTAATGATTCAGAACAGACTGAGGAATGATGGAGGGAGGAGGGTGGGGGATAGATTAGATGGGTGATGGGTATTAAAGAGGACACTTGTTGTGATGAGCACTAGGTGTTGTATGTAAATGATGATTCACTGAATTCTGCTCCTGAAACCGATATTGCATTATATGTTTACTAAAATTTAAATAAAAATTAAAAAAAGAAACCTAAGAAAACTGCATAGTCCTTACAGAAAAAAAAATTATAAAATGTAATTTACAGATACTGAAAGAAGACTTAAATTAATGGACCTGCCTATCATATTCATGGATTGGAAAATTCCTTATCATAATAAAGCTGACCATTGCCCCTAATTTGAGCTGTAGATTCAACATACTTCCAATTAAAATCTCAACAGGGTTTTTGTTTGTTTTGTTGTAGAAATTGACAAGGTGGGTCTAAAATCTCTATGGAAGAGTCAGGGACCTCAAATAGCCAAACCTTAGCTGGTGGTGGTTGTGGAGAAGCAGGCTGATATCTGCCCAACCAGATACCAGACCACCTCTCATACTTGGTCATTAAAAGCATAATAGTCAACCAGTGGGCAGAATGGAGAGCCTGGAAACTGACCCCTGCGCACGTGGAAGCTTGGTGGACACCAGTGGTACCACTGCGGGTCCCTGGGGGCAGGGGTGAAACTACCCAGTAAAGGGTTCTGAGACAATTGGTAATCCACATAAAGGAGGAATTGAACAGGAATCCCTGCTTCTCGCTGACAACAGAAATCAACTCTGGGTGGATTAAAGGCTTAAATGTGAAAAGCAAAACTAAATATTTTAGAAGACTATATAAAAGATTTTCCTTATGACTCAGCATGGGGTAGGATTTCTTCAACCACTCTTCCTAGAACCTTCTCTCTGAGGAAATAGCAATCCTGTCCTCCCAGGCTTTCAGGTCAGAAGGCTTGAAATCAACCTTAATTCCTCTCTCATACACCCCAGATCCATTTATTAGCATATTCTGTGTGCTCCAGCTTACACAAATACCCAGAATCCTACCATATTGTACAATGGTACCTCCCGAGTTGTGCAGGGCCCCAGCTCTGCTCCCTAGACAAGCCATCATCATCTCTCCTACCTGGGTTTTTGCAGTCAACTCCTCACTGGTCTCCCCGTTTCCGCCCCAGCTCCCCTGCAACTATTCTCAACGACAACGAGAATGATCTTTTAACCAACAATGCCATTCTCCTGCTTCAGACCCTCCCCTGGCTTCCCGACCCCTCCCCCAAGGGAAAAGATTTTCTGGCGGCCTTCCCCACCGAGCCCATCTCCTGTCTGAGTTCCTCTCCCTTGCTCTGGTTCAGCCACAACCTGGATCAGCAAGGGCAAGGCTGACGGGGTGGGTAGAAACAAGAGGGATGCCTGGGTGAAGGCCACTGGTGCCAAGGCTGAATGAAGCCCGAATTTATGGCTCACCGTAAGATAGCAATGCGGTGCCAATCAGTTAGGGAAAATATAACAATTGACTCTTGTTGAGCGGGTGGGTACAAGCTGGTTTGCGCTGGTTCCAGCACCACCCCTCGCACGGCTGCCAAGGTTGTGTTTCTCAGGCTGGCGAAACATGCACAGATTCCTTTTAGACAATTGTTTTATGTCTGGGTAGACGTTACCATATAAGGTTGTGCGCACCCTCGGGTGATAATTATTACAGAGACAAATGGAAGGCAGGAACTCTGAGGCCCAGAACAGAAGACAATCTGAGCTGTCTTCTCTCTCCCTCCTCCAGCACCACCCCTTCTCCAGGCTCAAAGAAAGAGCCAGAAAGGCTTCCTGTGGCTGTCTGGTTCCTTGGGTGATGGGGATCTGAGCCCAGTGAGGAGGTCTGCCAAGCCCTGGGGGCACGGGAGAGGGTCTGGCAGGGCGGAGGGAAGAAAGATGAGTACCAGAAGGATGTCATGTTTGGCAATGAGGCAAAACTCGAACGTGGGGGCCGAGAGAGGCCCCTGCGGGCAGGCTGTGGACCCCCAGCTGAGCAGGCCATTAAACCACTTTGGGAACAGGGTCATAGCTAGGGAGGTGACCCAAAGCCGAGGAAAGACTCTGGGGCTTTGGAGGCAGGAGAAAAACGTGGATTTGAGCTCTGATCCACCTCCTGTTATTGAGAGATCTTGGGCAAACTGTTTCCAATGAGTCCCTGAAATGGAGCTAATAGCTCTCACCCCAAACAAACAGGACTACGGTTGGCCCTCAGGAAACACTGCACATTGCTGTCCGAATCTCCAACCCACCCTTCTCCCCAGGCGGTGCCACCACAAGCTCCGGGAAGGAAAAACAATGGCCTGCCAGCTACTCATTTTGAGCCCCAGGCCAAGCACCTTCAAGTGGCATTTCAGAGCCCTGTCAATGACCCAATGAGGGCCACGTCGTCATTATTATCCCCATGGTGCCAAGAAGGTGACCGAGGCCCAGAGAGGTGAAGGATCCCGCCCGAGGCCACACCCAGGAAGTGGCAGAGCTGAGCTTTGAACCTAGGAAGCCTGACATTGTCACTGTGACCAGAGGTGCCCAGGCCAGCCAGGGGTGCCCGGGCCTCCCTCTGGCAGACTAGGACACCAGAGGTCCCCGAGGGAGTGAGGAGCTATTCGCCAACTAGGATGGATCACCTGCACCGTGAGAATACATTTGCCCAGGGCCTGGATATTCCCAGCACAAGGCACAGGGCCTGGCCCAGAGAGGGCCCTTGGTGGCCACGCAATGAGTTTCCCATGTCCCCAGGAATGTGTCCTGGGTCTCAGACCCCCTAGGGGTACAGGAAGGGGTGGCTTGGGATCCACAGGTGTTGACAGCCCTCACCCTTGCCCCTTGACCTGACCTTGAGACAAGTTTGATCGCATGTTGTAGCCCAAATCATAGTAGTCTGAGAAGATGGAGGTGATTTCCATGGGACTCTGGGTCCTGCTGAGCCATGAGTTTGCCCTCCTCTGGCCCTCAAAGACCTCACCGATGGCCCTTCGAGCCTGCGCAGTGAGCAAGGGAGAAGAGACAAGGGATAGAGAAGCAGGGTCAGCCCTCTATCTCCCCGCCAACCCCTCCTCCCTCTCACCTGCCCCACTGCTATACTGCAGCCTTCAACCAGGCCCAGGGCTGGGAGCTGGGAGAGCTGAAGGCCCTCCATTCCTCACACCACCCCATCTCCCACACGGGCACAAGTGATGGTAATGATCATAGAACCTCCTCCCTGCTTTGAGCACCTACTGTATGTCATCAGAAGAGGTCTTCATAAGCTAATATTACTCCTGCCATTTTATAAATGAGGAAGCTGGACCTCAGGGCAGGACTCACCCGGTCACCACAGCTGATAAACCGCAGAGCCCCGCTTGCCTCTAGAACAGAGGCATCCCCCACGTCAGCTCTGGGTGGCTCCTTAGATTTCACTGGGGCCAACTCCTTCCTGTACCAACGAGGGACCTGGAAGGCTCAGAGTGGCTGAGCCCAGGCCTAGGAGCCAGGAAACTGGGGTTTGAGTCCCAGTTCTGCCGTAACCCAGCTGCTGACATTGGGCAAGTCTCTGGTCTTCTCTGGGCCTCAGTTTCCCTACTTGTAAAATGGGGGTGGGGCAGAACTGGATGGTCTTTGAAGTAGCTTCCAGCTCTAATAATCACTAGCTCAGTGACACCCACAATGTGTCAAAGATAGATAGAAAAACCAGATCTCCTGATTCAAACCCAGGACAATGATGGCCAAAGAGAGAAATGACAGCTTCCAAGGCTGAGAGGGGTAGTGAGAGATTAGTGACCATAGAGCCAGCCTCAAACTGGGATAAGATCTTCCAAGTAGGACAGGACATTTAGGATTGTGACCTCCCAGACTAGCAGGTGGGTGTGGTCACCACACCTTAAGATGACAAAGCAGAGGGGGACCCAGCCCTTTGTGATCCTGGGAATTCCACTTGCTCAGTGTGACCCCGAGCAGATCACATCACCTCTCTGAACCTCTGTTGTACTATATGTTCGAAAAGAAGCCTTAAGTCAGGCCTGGCCTACCGCACAACATAGTCACTGTGGGGGTTGAGGTGATGGCTTTAACCTATGTCTCAAAACTCCAGAGCAAGAAGAACTCCTAGCATTTGACCAGAAACAGCAGTTTTATCTCAACTTTCAGTTGATCAGTAGTGATTCTCTGGAATAATGTATCAGGTGGGGGAAAGGTGCCAGCATCGACTAGTGATGTCTGCCATGAATGCAGTCCAGGAAAGTTGGGGTATGAATGCCATTTGTCAGCCTGATCTAGTCCAACTGCCTCACTTGACAGAGGTAGACACTAGAGCCCAGAGAGGGGAAGTGACTTATCCAAAGTCACCCAGCATTCAGGGGGCAGAGCCAAGATCAAACCCAAGTCTTCTGATCCCCATTCAATGCTGTCTCCTTTCAGAGACTTGTTAAAAGCATCTAATCCAACACCAGCCTTATAACTGAAAAGTCAGTAAGGGCCAGGCCCCCAGAATACGTTGGCCCAGCTTGGATCCTTTTATCCCATAGAACTGGGTGAGTTTGGTTAGTTTACTGAACCCCTCTAAGCCTTGGGCTCCGTATCCGTAGGAGGGTGATAATAGTACCTTCCTCACTGGGAAGATCAAATGAATTGTTTTATGTGAAGACTTTAAATTGGGCTCTGCCTGGCATAGTCAACATCCCTCTCGAATGATATTACTGTAGGGACTCTGTGCTCAAGAGCAGGCTCCTTGGGGGTCCTAAGTTTCTATGCATAACGCTTCCGCCACCCTTGGTCTCCTGTGCCCGCTCAGATACCTGCTCCTCAGAGACCAGCTCGTCCACCACGTTGCTCCCAAACTTGTGACGAATGTTGTCAGGAATGATGCTGCTCCTCTGGTCCTGGGCTCCTGTGTTGGGGCCTTCCTTCAGCCCCTGGTTCAGCTGAGCCCCCTCTCGGAAAGAAGCCCTGCTCTCCCTCGAGGGGGGTCTGTAGCCTCCCTTCCTCGGGGACCCACACTGGGGGTCCATCCCCGGGGACAGACGGTCGCTGCTGATGATCGATGGGGGTGGAGTCCTGACCTCCTCCAGGTGGACCTGCCTTAGGGGGCTGCCTCCCCGGTACAGGGTCTGCTGTGGGGAGACTGGGGCCTGGTACTTGAACTTAGAGGTGTCCAAAGGGCTGGGGGCAGTTCTCCAGGGGTTCGTGTCCTGGTGGTCTTCCTTGCTGTTCAGATGGGCCCTGGGCAAAGTGGTTGTACCTGAGCAGGGAGAGAGAGGGAGAGGGGCAGGGAGGGACGGAAGGAGGGAGGGAAACAGATGAGTGCAGAATGGGGGGTGGGAAGGGAGACAGCGATGGGAGTGGGGAGCGGGGAAAGAGAAAGACACAGAGCCCCAGAGCCTCGGAGCAGCAAAAGAAGGTAAGGGAAACTGAAAGGACTCCACGAGAAACTGCTTTCTCTGCTCCTTTTGCTGCCTCTTCTTGCTGGGCCCTGCACCCCTGCCTCACACACGCCTACAGAACAGACAGTCCTCATAAAGGTCAAGGATTTAATGATTTTTTTGGAGTCTTCCAGCACAATAGATAGTACCTAAGGAGTGACATGAACATTTTCCAAGACCACCGACTCACCAAGACTCCACCTGGCTCCAGGGTGTAAGTGACTTATGGGGACACCTAAACACGCATCTTTGTTCCTGGATGCCTGAGAAGACAGGGCACTGGAGCACCGTCCTCAATACAAACCCCAGGCCCCGTGCAAAGACGAGACTCACTGTCCTTTCCCTTCTGAGGCTCCCAGACACTCTGTATCTGCACTCTCTCTCTGTCTTCAGTAAACTGCTCTCACCTCCTCTCGGCACGCATTTGATTTCTATCCTGTGTGAAACCAAAGACCGTCTTGGCTGGTGCTGCGGGACCCTTCTGGGTCCTCGGACCCAGCCAGCCTGCATCAAAGGGATGGGGACAGACAGAAGTCACAGGAGCCAGAAGCACAGGGGAGAAATCAGGAGAGACAGAGGAAGCAGGTGGTTCAGTCTGCCAAGCCTCCCACCAGACGGGATCACCCCACATTGTTTTTGACCAAAGGAGTGGCAGCCCCAGACTCTCCAGTCTTGAGGTCTAGCTGTGGGACCTTGATGTCTCTGTGCTTTAGTGAACCTAGCTCCATTTGATTAGTTCCCTTCCCCTCTTTGAACCCCCCAGCGAACCAGTGAAGAAAACCAGCAGCCGTGGGACCTGCCAAAGGGCATCGTTGGCTTGGCCAAGTCACAGAGCTGGATGGCCAGGTCTTTGCTCCCCATTCAGAGCTGCTGCCCAACCCCCACTTCCCTCTGCTATTGTCACTATTCAGGTGGTGTCACCCCAGCCACTTCCCTGCTCTCACACCCCCACAGGTCCCTTCCGCTTCTGGCCCTGACTCCCAGTCCCAGGGGGTCCCTGCTCCCAGCCTGCAAGCCTCCTCCCTCTCTTCACCCAAGGCTCCCACCAAACCGGTTACTCCTTCTCCCCCAGCCATGCCCTGTGCCGTCCCACTTCCCAGTGTCTGCCCAGGCTGGTTCTGCTACCTGAGGGCCTGCCCCTCCTTCTCCCTGAGACAAAATCCTACCTTCAGCTCCCTCAAATGTCATCTTACCAGGAAGTCCTCCCTGATGCCCACCCCACGCTGGCCTGGCCGCAGGCTCCACACCCCTCTCATGACCCTGGGTTTTCCCTTTCTCCATCACTGTGGCTACAAACCTTCCCATTTTCCCACCAAGATGGGAGGTGGCGGTCTCACTGAGGCGGGTCCACGGGTGAGTTGATCCTGGACCTCCCTCAGCGCCCACCAGACAAGCCCGGTGCATCGGAGCTGTGGGTGGAGGCCGTCAGCCAGCCCGGGGAGTAGGGGGCGGCGGGGCCGGCAGACCCACAGGAACCCCTGTGCCTCATCAATGTAACACGTCACTTCTTTTCATGGTCCTACCGCTGACATCAGGCTGCATCTGGCAGTTGGCGACCCTTGGTCTAACCAGCAGGGTTTTCTCTTTCTTTAAGTGGCGGGTAAGTCACATAAATAACAGTGTATCTGACAACTAACCTGATGGTGACCTAACACAATTTATATAACATGTTACACATGATAATACCCACGTGGTGTATAAATTCTTCCTTATCTTATTCTTTCTTGTATTTTCTGTGCAAAATATGGAAGAGGAGCCGTTTGCCCACCCCATCGCCCCCCACCACACACACACACACACAGACTTGGCCTCGCCCCCTGCCCCCCAATCTTCAATCCCAGGTGACAGCTGTAAACACATCTGGTGAGCTGCCCTTCCAAATATTCTAGATGGCTCCTCCAGCCCTCTTGAAGGATTCATAGTTGTGCTTTGTTTTTGTTTCTAAATGAGATTGGATTTTATGTATTGCTTTGTAACTTGCTGTTAAAAGAAAGTACCACTGGGCCTTGAGGATTGAGTTATGGCGGCAGACACAGACCCCACTTCCCTTTCAAACCTGGCAGGATTTAGTAGCTGCCCCACTTGTGGTCATTCGGATTGTTCTAGGCTTCCTTTTCAGAGAAGGCTGCTGGAAAGCAGCGGGTTTTGCTGGCCATGGGGGGGTTTATTTCGCTCTCACCGGACCCTGCTCTGCTGTCACCAAGAGGTGGTGGTGCTCTGTGAAAAACCCCCTTGCCCACCCACGAAGAACGGCAGACCCTTCCCCTGGGCGGTGGAGACAGAGAAAGCTAATGTCCAAGCCCGCCTGCCTCCTCCTTTCCTTCCCTCCCTCCCCGCCCCGCCCCCCACCGGTGAAATCAGATACTGTTTTATTCTTGCTCCTTTGTCATCTACTCAAAAGGCAGAGGGAAAACCTGTTCCCCAAGACCAGAAATCCTCCCCTCCCTCCAGTTCTGGTTCTGCTCCAGCAAGCAGGCAGCCAAGTCAACGGGCGCCTCTGGGGACAACCGAGGTTGCCAAGGTAGGGAGGGCACCCTGCTCAATAGAGTGGAAGCTGGTACGAAGCACACGAAGCACACGAGGCATCCACCTGCTCAGCCATGGCCCCTCCTCCTGCTCCCAGCACAGCGAGGGGCTCCACCTGGGGTCCCACAGGATGCAGGGCTCAGGACTCCAGGAGCAGAGCTCCCCGTTTCTCCCAGGCCACGCTCCCGCCTGCCTCATCTATGAGCATGTTATAGCGGAATTGCCTGCACCCCCTGCCCGCCCTCTGGGATGATGAGCGCTTCACTGGCCGGGCCCTGGCTCAGAGAGCCGATATTGACCCAATTCACGCACTGAGGGAGCCCTATGTCAGATCCAGGCACTGGGGATGCAAGGGAACTAAAAGGCCAACCCCTGTCCTCTCAGAGCTCAGTGTTTGTTGAGTGAATGAGTGATTGTTGGCAGCCGAGGAGCCTCACTGCAACTCTGCCCCATCCCTTCTGCCATAAAAAGGGCAGAGTGAACCCAGCTTCACTTGCTAGTGTCATGAGGGTCAAATGGTCCATGGTCAGTTTTCCCGGCTTGGCCCTTTATCAGAATCCCACCCCCGCCCCCCACTTCCCCACTCATGACATTTGCAGATTCTTGGGCCCCTCCCCGGGCCTGCATCAGAACCTCCTTGGAAGAGGCTGGAATCCGAGTGTTTAACAAGGCCTGGGTGCTTAGGGTGTTGGAGAGAGCTTCCAGCAGCTGTGTCCCCCGAGTCTCACTGGATGGCCACTCACCGTGGGGCCCCTATCAGAGCTGACCTGACCCAGTCACCCCTGCATTGAAAGCAGAGCCCCCACATCGGGGATCAGGCCCAGGACCCAGCCTGGGCTTCTCCCCCACCTGCCTCTCCAGCCTTCCAGCCATCAGCCATATTGACTTTCCTAGGCTCCACCAAAGCACCAGGCCCCTCACTTCCAGACTTTTGCCCACACTGTTCCCCATTCCTGGAACACTCCCTTCACCCCTCCTTGGGCCACACCACTCCCTGGGCTGGGCTTACTCAGGACCTACATGTACCTTCCACCCCCTTGACCAGCCCTGGCCCCCGTTGGGGTCTCTCTCAGCCCTGCCCGCTGGGTGCACACTTCCCCACTGAGCCCCGCAGAGGGGAACCGCAGTGGGGCCACAGTCCCTGGTTGGACAGAGGGGAGGGGCCCAGCAATATTCCCCTCCCTTTGATTTCTGTCTTCAAATAGAAGGCGGAGGAAGTCAAGGCCCCACAGTGGGTCTGAAGGCCCAGGTGAGACCGAGGGAGGAGGAGAAGGGGCTGTTCCCTGCTGCCCGCAGGGCACCCGTACAGAAGCCCCAAACGGGCATTCAGCATGTCCCTGGTCAGCCTGTCCTACCTGCTCGGTGGCCCAGCTCCATCGACTCTTGCTCTGGGATAGGTAATTCCAAGCTTAGTCCTATAGACAAAGAAACACATTTAGTCATCTCAGATGACACAGTCTCTGCAGAAAAGGATGAACAGAGAATTAAACAGGGAGGCTTGCGGCCATCTGCCCAGCCCCTGACCCAAGGTCCCTCCATGCTGTTTCCAGTCCTCTCTGGTACTCAGCAAACCCCTTCCCCCGTGCTGCCGCCATCACCCATCCCCCCCCCCCACCCCAGCCTGCCTCCTGGACCCCTGCAGACTCTGCCCTCTCTGGAAAGCCCGGGTCACTTCCAACACCAGTGCCTCAAAGAACTTTCTCAAACAGCCTGGGGGCCCTGAGCGCCTCTTGCCCTTTGCACGCTCTTCCTCCCACCTTCTCCCCTATCTGCAGCACCCAATGCTCCCCTGGGATTCCCCAGCAGGCCCCTGGCTGTGGGAGGCCTTGCCCCAAGCCCCTTATCCTGGTGACTCTTTGCCTCCCTGCAAGTAGGACTGTGTCCCTTTTACTAGCTGGTCATTCAAGCTCAAGGGAAAGGAACCGGCTTGGCCATCATAGGAGAGCGGAGAGCAGGAGCCTCGCGGCTGTGACCTCAGTCTCTGCTCCACAGAACAGCCCTTCAGGCCAATTTAGAGCAGCCCTGGCATCTACAATAGCCCCTGTGGCTTTCGGGTTTGTGTTCCTTTTCCTAGTGAACTTCTTCTTATTCCTAATACCTGATTTTATTGCAGTGTCTTTAAGATTTTTGTGAGTCTTGTAATATGAAAAAGTAAAACAATTTATTGTATACAGTGAACGTTTAGTACCTAGGCCAAAGCAGGAAGTAGCTCTGTAATAAGGAAAGCATAGAAGTAGCAGGTCAGAGCTGGAAGGGATCTTTGGGATCAATTAATCCAATCTCTTCATTTTATAGATAAAGAAACTGAGGCCCAGAGAGGGGGAGTGATTTGTGCTAGGTCACCCAGCAAGCTGGTCTGCTGGTAAGCTCAGAGCAGATTAAGAACCAGATTAATTTTAGGGACGCCTGGGTGTCTCAGTAGGTAAAGCCTCTGACTTCAGCTCAGGTCGTGATCTCAGGGTCCTGGGATCGAGGCCTGGGTTCGGGCTCCCTGCTCAGCTCAGGGGAGTCTGCTTCTCCCTCTCCTTCTGCTCCCCCACTCCTGCTCTCTCTCAAATAAAAATCTTAAAAAAGGATCAATTTTCTTTTGAAGAAATCACAAAGCAAAACACCCTATTAATGTTGACACTTAATAATTGTGCAGTGATAACTGTGTGATCATGCAGCTTCTGATGGACTGACTCCCCATGATCCCTAGTTTCATAAAACCTACTGTTGGGGAGGGACTGAGCTTAATGGAATACCCTTCTGGTATTCATACACAGCATTAGACCCCCACCCCATCCCCCTGACAGTGGGCTGGACTTAGCAGCTTGCTTCTGATAAAAAGAATATGATGAAAATGGGAGGATGTCACTTTGAGATTAGATTAATGACTTTTGTCTTATTCACACTCTTTCTCTGGCTCTTCTTGGCTTGTTCGCTCTGGTGGAAGCAACTGCCATGTTTTGAGCTGCCCCATGGAGAAGCCAACAGCTCATGAGGAAGGGAGACCCTTGGTCCAATAGTCCTCGAGGAACTGCATGAATCCTGCCACCCAAATGAGCATGGGAGTGGATTCTTCCCCAGTTAAGCCTTCATATGAGAACATAGCCCAGCTGACACATTAATTACAGCTTGTGGGGGACCCTGAGGCAGAGGACCCAGCCGAGCTACACCCAGGATCCTGACCCAAAGAAACTGGGAGATAATAAATTTGTACTTTTTTTTAAGCACATAGTTTTAAGTTGCTAAGCTTTGTGGTCATTTGTCATGCAACAGTAGCTCACTAACATATAGTTTGGTACCAAGAATGGGCTGCTGCTGTAACAAATACCTAAAAATGTGGGAGTGGCTTTGGAACTGAGCAGTGGTTGGAGCATGCACGGATTTTGAGGAACATGATTGAAAAGGCTTAAATTGCCTTAAACAGATAATGAGTAGAAATCTGATAGTCTGTAGAAGACCCTGAGACTTGGGATCCATTGGAGCTCTATCTGTATTTCTGACCCAAAGAAACTGTGAGATAAAAAATCTTCTTAGGGGCACCTGGGTGGCTCAGTCAGTTAAGCATCCAATTCTTGATTTTTGGCTCAGGTCATGATCTCAGGGTTGTGAGATTGAGACCCACATCAGGCTTCACACTGAGTGTGAAGCATGCTTGGGATTCTCTCTCTCACTCTGCCTTTCTCTCTCAAAAATTAATTAGTTAATTTTAAAAAATGTTCTTAAAGCCACTAAATTTTGGGGTGATTTGTTATACGGCAAGAGATACCTAATGCAGTTCATATGCATTCTCACATCTAGTAGATTAGTCTTCATAAGGACTCAGGTGTTCAGAGAAAGTATTAACTCTCTGTCTTTCACAGGTGGAGAAAATGAGGCTCAGAAAAGAAATAAGACCTCAGCCAGGTGGCACTGAAACCAAGCCCGACATCTTCTGTCTCCTTCAAGCGAGCTGCCCCATCCCCAGTTACCCACCCGCTGTGCCCACGGCTGTGTCCCATCTGCCCTAATGGCACCCCCAGTCCAGAGCAGCCTGGACTGCCTTGAACAGAAGTGTGGACTCACTGCCAGTTTCTGATCTGGAAACAAAGGTCCCAAGAGACGTCAGTCAAGGAGGATGGGGGCGGAGGTCTAGTTGCTTCTGGGTACTCTTCCCTCACGAGCAGCCCTGAATGGAGAGAGGGAAGATGAAATCCCAGGCCTCGGGAGACCCCCGCCCACCTCACAGGTCTCTGCCTCACTTCTCCACTCTCTCTCATAACATCAGAAAACACGTGAACCACTCTGGTGCGTGCTGAAGCCCAGGAGTGCAGATCCACACTGAAAAAACTGCTGGTGAAGACTACTAGGTGGTTGCTAGGGAGCAGCCCTCCTCCACTGTTCACTGGAGTCACCGTGGTGAGCATTATCCATAGGGCTCTATTACCTCAGAGGGCTTCTAGGCCCACCCTAGGGAACTGAGGCCAAGGAAAGCCAGTACTGGGGGAGGGGGAGGAGCCTTCAGGCATCGTTCACTCTCTCATCCCCTCAAAATGTTTCCAGAGCCCCCCGCATGTGTCAGGTTGTGTATCAAGCACAGAGGGTCCAGATGCCATCAGGTGGAAAGGAAGTTCTTGGGATGACAAAGGATTAAGTAGAGAGAATGATGAGTTTTGTCTGGGGAAATGAGTCATTTGAGCTGGGCTTTGAAGGATGCATAGGAGTTTAACAGCTTAGACAGGGCTTGACTATAAAAGGCCTGGATGTGTTTATGAGCATAAATATAGGCCAAGAGGAGTGGGGAGGGGAGGGGAGAGAAAGGTGCACCTGAAGCTCTCTGAGCTGGACATGAAGGGATCAGGGACCAAGTAGTAAAATGAGAGCAGGATGAGACAATGAGAGTCGGCTCTCCCCTGCTCGAACCACGAGGGCTACCAAAGATGAATAGTTCAATGGCTTCTGCAGCTGGTGTCAGCAGGAACTCAGTCCTGTCTGGCTGTTGCTTAGCAGGGGTAGGGGTCCAGGGGCTGCCTCCTCATGCCAGCCTTCCAGGGGCTCCCCAGGTGACAGAGAGCTTGGTGACACTCGGGACCCCTGAGTCTGGGCCTGCCACTTAAGAAAAGAGTGACTTTGGCCGAGTTCTTTGGCTGAACTTTCCTCATATGTGAAACAGACACAGCTCACCGTCAAGGGTAAGAACGAAGATTGAGCGAAATCACTTTCGAGAAGCACCTAGCGCATCGCTTGCCACAGAGAGATGTCTCCTGTAATTCACAGCTAACCCCGTAAGCGACTCATCAGCAAGGCCTTCAAAGTACACCAAACTCGCACCCCTTCAGCCACCTCCACCTCCCGCCCCCCGCCCCGGCCCCCAGTCCAGACTTCTTGCCTCCTCACTGGTCTCCTGGGATTACTCTCATCCACGTTATCTATTGCTGAGTGACAATATGACCACAAACTTAGCAGCTTCACACATTCCCTATGGCAGTTGCTGTGGGTTGGGGGTCTGGGCGTGGCTTCGCTGGATTCTCTGGCCACTCAAGGCTCCAATAAAGGACCTAAAGCTGGCATGACAAGGACAGCATGAAGGCAGGAAGGGTCAGCCTTAGCCCTCTTCCACGCAGACCCCTCAGGCCTTCAGCCTGATACAGCCTGACACCCAGGCTCCTCAGCATTTACTGAGCACCTGCCCGCCTCTACGCCAGCCTAAGGGCTGGGGCACGTCATTGACGGACTTGGTCCCTGGCCCTCGGTGGCCCTGTCTTTGCCCAGGAAGGCTGCGCGGTGGAAGCAGGGAACCCCCATTAGGTGAGTCCAGGGCTCAGCGTGCAGCCTGTGAGGGGAAAACAGCCCTCCTGAGGTGCTGCCCAGACATCTGACGATAGGACAACCCTCCTTGAACCCCAAGTCTGGACATAGACAAGGCCCTGAGCTTAAGATTCCCGTCTCAAATTCCAGCTTTGTCTTTCCCAGGGCACCTAGGAAAATAACCACTTTGAGCTGAGCCCATGGAAAGTTAGTGCCCTCAGCCCTAACTGCCTTATGAGTAAATAGGCTCTCTGTTCTGTCTTTCCAGCTCACAGGTGACCTGGGACAGAGGACTGCCCTCCCCTGGCTCAACACCCCCCACCCATGTCTGGGATCTGTAAGTAATAAATCTTGTGACTTAACTTCCTTTGTGTGGGTGTATTGAAACTGCATCTGCTGTCAAAATAAACCCAGGATTTTCACTTTCCCAGGTGGGAGCTCAGAAGCTGAGGGGGCTACCTGACAACCCTGAGGGGTGAGGGGGGGCTTGTGCCCCCTGAATCAGCAAGTTGTAAACTGATGATTCTGAATTCAGTACATCAGCTATAGGTCCTCCAACACATGGCCCCAAAGGAGGGCTTAGAAAGCCTGTTTCTAGGAAACTC